GCCCCTTAGTTTGTCAGTTTGAACACTATCCTTTTTGTTAAATTTTTCACAATACATTTTCTTCTCCTATAACAGTAGAAGTTTTGAGCAACAAACCATGTTTACCCTTCCTCTCTGTTATTGGTGGTAATGTGAGTGAGAAGTGACAGGCATTTTAGAAACCCTTTGTGGCAAAAGTAACTTCGCCACTGGTTCATGAAGGGGCCTGTTTGCAAGCATCCTACCCTGTGACTATGGCCCCTGTGATAAACCTTGGTTAAAATCACTGTTTGCGCCTTTTGGACTTGTAACAGTAACACTTCGAATTGCCGAAGCGGTTTAAGCGGCACTTCAAAGTCCCAAACGGTTGAAGTGGTTCGAAGCAGCACTTCAACACGTGGCGGTTGGCCATCTTAAGCCGCGAGCACCATGAGCGGTGTTTGGTCGTTGAGTGCATGGAACCCAAATCAGACACTCGACGGCACAAACACTGCTAACTACTTACCTTCCACGGATGTTCAGCTATTCAAACGGGAGTCGAACGGCGTTCAGTAAGAATAAACTCCCGAACGAGAGACATAAACTGAGACTACTCCCGAAGCTATACGTTTGGCATTTTATATGTTACTTCAAATCCACAAAGTAGACCGACTGCACAGTCTGATTTTATGGAACTGTTTTTTTGACATGGGACCATGTGTGCAGTTGGTCAAAATGTGACTTCCATAGAATTCCTGGACACCTGAACTGATCTGGTGTTTTTTGGATATATGTTGGTCACCCATATCAGGGCTACCAGAGGATGTAAGATTTGTGGGAATGTTATGTATTTTTGGGGTACTTTTGGGGCTTTATAAAAATATGTGTTTTTTTCTGCCTGGATTGGGCTAATACAGCATCTAACTCAATTATCTCCCAGGTAGAGGGGAGGGATTGTATGCTATGACTAGTGCAGCCATCCTAAACACTACAATTAAAATTAGATCTAATGTTTAAACTTCCTTTATTGCAAATTTTGTTTCATTTAGAATATCTTATCTTCTGCACATTCAATTGTTTGCTAGACCTCACAGAGGCCTCCTCTGCTTTGCATGATTAAAGCTCAATTTACAGAGCAGGAGATAAAACATCTAATGCAAGGTAACATCTGTTTGAAAATGAAACAATTTTTTTTTTTTGCTTGCTGTGTGCCTTGAGCTGCATAAACAGAAACATGTGTGATTTTACTCCCAGGTTTGAAAGAATTGAGCACAAAAACTGCTTTGTTTTAGCCTTCCATAATCATTTGTTAACTATACTTTCAGTACCACCAAAGATATACCAACCGTAATTTCTATCATTCATATCTAAACATTGAGGACTACTTCACCTCCTATGAAGCACTGCCAGCTAAAGGGTTCCCAATCCATGATATACTGTAACAGTCAAGCTCTGTATTCTTAGATTTTAAGTGCACTATGAAAATATAATTAAAAGCATTCATTATGCATTTATAGTTAAACATAAAATCCGTATTTGTTTAATTGTCATCTTTTGGAGTGTTTTAACTAACCTTCCACTTTACTACATGAATAATTTAAGCAAATCATGTTTAACCTCGTTTTATATATTTGATCTTGTGATTCGTCATTATTCCATTCTTGCAGAGTTTCTCTTTTTGTAAAATTATAATTAGTGCTGATCTATATGTATATGGGTCTTTCTTGTAAATATAATAGAGAAATTCTTTCTTTGCAAATGATCTGTGTTTTTAGTATATTTTGTTCTCTCATTTTATCATTTATCTATCAGACACACATGAACACTGTCCCTTCAACTAACTCTTTAAGAGACACAGGTTACAATGGATCCTTTCATGCAAACATTTTAGGTATCTTCTTAACGCTTTTTCACTGTGACTTTTTTCATTTGCTTGAGGCTTCTTCATAGTTCCTTTGAGGGAACAAAGACTCTGATGTTCTTAAACTGGTACTTTATTACAGTGAAAGTTAAAGGACCACTGGGTAAAATATTTTCTAACAATATTGTTGTGCTCTCTGTTTTTCCTTCAAGGGTTTTAATTTGGATAGACTACTGAGATATTGGCTCTGAAGGCCTTCAAACATCACTCGTGCTGAGCTCTTTTTGTATTTTAAAATCCAACAACACTTTCCCATATTGTAGTTCTATTTTAGCAGTATGACTGGTAGCTGCTGGTGTGAGAAACATGTAAACCATTTATATTGAAGATGTAGCAAATACATTACATGTTTCAATTATATGTCTTGTAGTTCTTTTTATTGCCATGTTACATGAAATATTTTTGTTTTTTCTTCCATGTCTGGTATTGATGCAATTGAAAAATAGTGTTTGGTTAACCTTTTCTCTACCATCTGCAGTACATGTGTGTGTGTGTCTGTCTGTGTGTCTGTCTGTGTGTGTGTGTGTTTGCTTTTGCATTTCATTTGCAACACAATATTACAAAAAACATAATATCTCATTACTTACCCTTTCAGTCTGCATCCAGTGGTTTCATGCATAAAACAACATATTATGTCCAATTAAAGTACCAATGAATATCACTATGATTTTTTTAAATATCCATATTTGTTGTATTTAATTTAATTTTGTTTCTAGATATGCACCCAATGTTTCAAATAAATGCTTCTTTTATGTTTATGTGCAATATTTTGAGCATATTTAATATTTTGTTGTTTTCTCTGGAAAGACAATTAACATCACACTCGCTAAATAATTGCTCGTTTAATTTGTTCAGTAGTGTTATATGTGAATTAAGCAATAACAAGTCATGGCGGTACATATTACCACAGTAAAATTAGCTACCTCAATAACCCATGCTGTGGGATTATGCCTTACTATTATATCTATAGTTTTATAAGATTTAATCAACAGCATTGCAGACAAACAGAGAAAACTATTATTATTAACTTATTAAATATTAAAATTATTTGCCTTTATCTAACATAGATATTTAATTGTGGTGATTATTATCACATGTGACAATAGTAAAACAAGGTTCTTTGACATGAACATAAAGGGACACTGTTGGCGATGTAACTGCTTCATCTCATAGAAGTGGGTATAGTGAATTCCCCTGGCACCCTCCTTCCACTCAGTGTTAACCCATTTTTTATTTTTTTAATGCTATACAAGAGTTTCCAGCAGGTCGTCAACCCTTGTGCTGCTCAAGCTAATTAGGACACATTAGCCTGGGCAGCAATGGGTGGCTATGATTGTCTGAGAGAGTCAACTGTTTGTTTTCACCCTGTTATCTATTCTCTTCACGTTGCTACAGCAATTGCATACTTTATTGCAACATTTATAAGCTACTTTATTGCAACATTTACTAGCTATTCAGTCCATCCCCACCTATATACCAAGTAATTAAACTTCTATATCTATAGCAAGACATATATTTTTTTTTCTTTAGGTCTGTCTACATAGACATTTTGTCTTAGTACATTAATGTCTATTAGTTTAATACTCTTTTAGTTTCATGTATTTTCTCTTCCAATTCCTTTATCTTGTATTTAGGTTTTTTGGAGTAATCTTTTATTTACACATTTATTATCTTTATTTATATCTGTTTCATCATTAAAAGTTATGTTTTAATGACCAATTTCCAACTTAGGACAGTGTTTCTTTCCTTCTTCTTTCATATTCCTAAATCAAGGTTAACCCCTCCACTGCCCTAATGATCTATGCTACATTAGGCTTCCACTCTGTTTAATTTTGCTTGAACATGGTTTAACACTAAATGGAGGAACAGTGCCAGTGCATGTTAGTCATGATTAAAATGGATATAGGTCCTACAGTGTCCCTTTAATAGTACTATACTTTAATAGGACTGTAGGTGCCCCCTAACTCACTGGTGCATACAGAGGAATCATAGGTCATTCTTTTCTTTCTTTATTTCCTTCTACTAATTGCATGGAATGAGAAAGATACATACAACCAGAACAACACAGAATTAGACATGGCATAGTGAATATGGACTCCAGCCAGGGGTGGGCTGAGCTGGGGGGCAGGGAGGCAATTGCCCCCCAGGCCGCCCTAAATCCTTTTAAGACCAGCCGCTGCAGGGCCAGTCCTAATGCTGCAGCCTCCTGAGCGCTCTGTTAAGAACCTCAGGTGGCTGCAGCGCTGCTTCTCCCCTCTCCCCACTTCTGTTACTCCCTCCTTCTGTTACTCCCCCCCTCACCTTCCCTTCCTTGTAGCGTGGCCGAGCTCCTCTCCAGTCCGCGGCGCCCAGACGGAGTGATTGGAAGGTGCACACTTAGTGTTCCGCGCTGAGTTTCTGTTTCCTGTACCCGGCCGGACTGACAGGAAGTGCGCACTGAGTGTGCAACTTCCTATCACTCTGGCCGGGCACCGCGGACCATAGAGGAGCTCGGCCATGCTTCAGGGAAGGGGAGGTGAGGGGGGGAGTAACAGAAGGAGGGAGGGGGAGTAACAGAAGGGGGGAGTAACTACTTCAGTACTCTTTGAATCTTCCCAGTGCCATCAGAATAGTGACTTTGCATCTAATAATGCACTTAAAATTAATTAGCTTGGGAGAGTTCCTTGGTGTCCCTGGATGTGGGACACCTGATAACAAAACTGTGGTGGTGAGATAGGACCCTGAAATCTTGATTGTCCTACCTAAATTGAGACAGTTCAAAGGTACAGTGTAATTTTCATGAACACTGACATCCACAGATCATCTAGTTTGACAACAGTCATTTAAACACCAATTTTACTTTTTTTTCCCCAGTGAAAAAATTACATAAGTATTGGAAAAAAAAGTAAAAAATATTTGCATATTTTCTGAAACACAGATCCTCTAGAAATGTATTCTAGACAGAATTGACACATTTATTCACCCTGTCCTGATGAAAGTTCCTGAATGGAACTGAAACATTGACTGTTACACTTTTTTTAGTAAAGAAGTTTTTGAGAAAATTACCTGGGAGTGCTGATTTTTGTCTTCTATACATTTAGTACAATCAAGCACCGGGTCAAAAAAACTGTAAATAGGAGTGCAAGGCTTTCCTCTCCCTCTCTCTCTCTCTCTCTCTCTCTCTCTATATATATATATATATAGAGAGAGAGAGAGAGAGAGAGAGAGAGAGTGCTGATTTTTGTCTTCTATACATTTAGTGCAATCAAGCACCGGGTCAAAAAAACTGTAAATAGGAGTGCAAGGCTTTCCTCTCTCTCTCTCTCTCTCTCTCTCTCTCTCTCTCTCTCTCTCTCTCTCTCTCTCTCTCTCTCTCTCAAGGGAACTCTCCCAAGCTAATTAATTTTAAGTGCATTATTAGATGCAAATATATATATATATATATATATATATAGAGAGAGAGAGAGAGAGAGAGAGAGAGAGAGAGAGAGAGGGAGAGGAAAGCCTTGCACTCCTATTTACAGTTTTTTTGACCCGGTGCTTGATTGCACTAAATGTATAGAAGACAAAAATCAGCACTCCCAGGTAATTTTCATAATTATATATATTTGTTTTTATATTAAAACACACACATTTATATATGTTAATTTGTGTTCTTCTAAAGTACAACAGGACAAAAAATTATTTTTTATTGCTGTCAACAGAGGGGCACAGAGCATAGTTCTGAAATGCCCTGCTACAGACATCAGAATTGATATGCTCTCCGTATTAAAAAAAAAAATGAAGACATTTTCTACAATCTACTTAAATCTCACATTTCTGCTGTGTTCCTTAATTTACTTTATCTTTCCCATTGTGTTTTACTGTGTAGCTTCTCTATTTGTTAGATATGAATTGCAATGAACGGTGGAAATTTTAGTCAAACAATGAGATGATATCCAAAGGGTGACCATTGCCGTTATACATTTAGTTTTAATTACTTAATGTGCTGTAATAAAAACTGTCAGTTTAAGTTGTGTCAGTCAAAAATGCAAAGCTTGATTTGATCCAATGTGATGTGAAGTCAAATGTTTGATGAAATGAAAGGGAAGATTCAGAAATGTGTTTGTGTAACTCTCTCTCTCTCTGTCTTAATTTATACATAGTGACAGAATTAGCATTTTCATGTTTTTTTCCCATTAATTACCCAAATTACATATCACACTAGAGGTATCTCGCTTTACATTCTAAACTCCTTCTTGAACTGTGACCTTCTTTATCAAAGAGAAAGCTTCAATTAAATGAAATTGAAGAGCAACATTATTGTATTCCATGAAACCCAACATAATTCATTTTTTCCTTGACCTGCTGCATTTTTAACACTCGAATTCCTCAAACACAATTTAAGAAATACATTAAAGTTATTATACACTCAAAAGAAACTACACATCCAACAAAGCAAAATTCATTATTTTAAATTATGAAAAATTACAACAGTTATCATAGTAAAATAATATTGATTGACCAATATGTTTGTCTCCTCACTCCCCCACACCTATTCTTTGTATACAGAATGTTCCAACTATGAATGATCCATATGAAAGGTCACAGATCCTCTCTATGCACACAATGCTCTATGACAAATTGTGTGCTCGCGTTCAAAAACTGCAGTTGTTTCGGCTGTAAATAAAATGCATGTTGAACATTAGCAGAAAACTTACCTAACTCCTGGAAGCTGATGAATATTGGGGAGAAGAGAAAATACTGAAAGATATAAAAAAAATTCTTCCGTGAAATAATGTACATGGTGGATGTATTCAATACCTTTCAAGAGTAGGCAGCAAGGACAAATTAAATTTTTTGTGTAAATCCATTCATTCACAGCCTAATACATAGTTACATAGTTACATAGCTGAAAAGAGACTTGCGTACATCATGTTCAGCCTTCCTCACATATGTTTATTGCTGTTGATCCAAAAGAAGGCAAAGAAAAACCCAATTTGAAGTGCCTCCAATTTTTCAATTAACTAGGAAAAAAATTCTTCTTGACCCCAAAATAGCAGTCAGATATGTCCTTGGATCAAGCAGCTATTCCCCCACTAATTAGAAATAATATCTCTATATGTCATGTTTTTGCAAGTATTTATCCAATTGCTGTTTAAACATCTCTATGGACTCTGATAAAATCACCTCTTCAGGCAGAGAATTCTCTATTCTTATAGCTCTTACTGTAAAAAAACCTTTTCTTTGCCTTAGATGAAATCTCCTTTCTTCCAGTCTAAATGCGTGACCTCGTGTCCTACGTATAGCCCTATTTATGAATAGATTTCCAGATAATGGTTTGTACTGGCCCCCTAATATATTTGTATAATGTTATTATATCCACTCTGAGGCGCCGTTTTTAAAACTAAAGAAACTTACATTTTTTAACCTTTCTTCGTAACTAAAATGCTCCATTCCTTTTATCAATTGTGTAGCTCGTCTCTGCACTTTTTCTTTTTCTAGTGACATGATATCCTTCTTTAGAACAGGTTCCCAAAATTGCACATTCAATATTCATGGTGTTGTCTTACCAGCGATTTATAAAGAGGCAAAATTATATTTTCATCCCGAGAATTTATGCACATATTTATACATGATAAAACCTTACTGGCCTTAGCAACTGCAGCTTGACATTGCATATTGTTGCCTAACTTGTTGTCTATAATAATTCCCAAGTCCTTCTTGTGTGTGGTTATCCCTAATTCTCCACCATTTAGGGTGTAAATTGCTTGTGCATGCTTGACCCCGAAGTGCATAACTTTGCATTTCTCTACATTAAATTTCATCTGCTATTTTAGTGCCCAGTCCTTCAATCTATTTAAATCCCTCTGCAACAAAGCAATATCCTGCTCACATTGTATTACTTTACAAAGTTTTGTGTCATCTGCAAACACTGAAACATGGTCTCAATGCCTATTCCGAGATCAGGTAAGTTTGCAAACATTGATTTATCACAATGGTAGAGAGAACTAGAGTTGAATCGGGTGAACATGTGTTAAAGACCAACCTAGCAGCAGATGTGGTTGACTCTGTATAACAACACATCACTTATGTTGTGTTTTTTTAATTTAATTTTGTTTTATAGCATATTTCATTACTTCATGGGAATGGAACTACTTACAAACAGAAATAATTCTCAACCTACAGGAAAATCTGCACATGTCATACCATATTGGTAATTTCTGAAGGCAGACAATGATTTGTTACACTATTATCCCAAAATCCTCTTCCATATGACTGAAGCAGCTACTGTTGTCTTGCATTTCCAATGCAGCTTCAGAACATTGTATTTTTAACAGAGATACACGCTGTTACGAACGTTGGTATGGTAGATACCCATTCGCCTATTTCCTCCCGAACTGCTGAAGCCTGAGTGATTATAGCTAGCAGTTTGGGTGTAGATTTGAATGATTCCAGAGGAATGGAGCATCCAAGTAGTTTCTCCCCATGCAAGGAGCACTCCCACATGGACCTTGTGGGGGACTCCAACACAAAGTTAACAACCAATTACATTGCAATTACAATGTATGACACTTCTCTATACATCACACAATCCCTCCTCTCTTCCTGGGAGATAATTGAGTCAGATACTGTAATAACTCAATTATCTCCAGGCAGAAAAAAAAGCAAATTTTCCATAAAACTTAAAAAGTACCCCAAAACACATAAAATCCCCATAAATGTTATATCCCCTAATAGCTCTGATCTGGGTGACCAACATATCCAAAAATCACCCAGATCAGTTCAGGGTTTCTGGAATTATATGGATGCCTCCAATTTTAGTTCCAGACACACGACGACCAAGTTCCGCTGCCTCCTTTCATTCATTCAACTATACGAACAGCGGTCACATAGGGAGAGCACTTAATACACTGTTCTCTTTGAAGTTAATGAGCCAGAGGGGTGATTGGTGTTTGGTAGTCCCGAACAAACAGGGTAGTTTCATCACACACACAAACTGGTATATGCAAAATATGTATATTATATAAAAAAAATAATAGATATGTACTTCCCATGAAGACTAAAAGTCCTGGTCTTGTGCATTAATAACTAGTGTGACAGAGGAAAAATGGCGGGAGACTAGAGAAAAAGCTATTAAAAATTTTGAGGGAAAATAGGTTTGTGAGATGGATATATCTGTTTGATAACTTTCAAAATCTGTTGTAGTGCATCTAGAAATGTATGGACAGGAATAATAGTGAATGGTTATAAGTATAAATATAAGTATAGTCCTGGGGATGAAGGCAGTGATGAAAGAAGAATCAAGTATATTCCTGGCAAAATTAGAGTGTGGAGATAAGAGGAAATTTGGTGTTATTTAGTCCTTGGTTTGGTTTACGTCAATACTTGTATTTTTGCACTGACTAATGTGGGTCAAGTGAAAATTCTGAAATATAATGGAAGCAGATGTTGAATGCCAACTGAGGTAAATTAGACTAATCAGGATTACCTTAGCTAAAGCATGTTATCTGGTATGTGGATTTTACCTAATCGTCATACATTTTTCCATCTTAAGAGCATACACAAATTTGGTAACTTGTAATATATCAAAAACATAGTTTGTCATATGTGACATCTATGTGGAATAAACATATAGCAGGCACTTGAATGTAATACAGATAAGTTAAAATGTGAGCACTAAATCATCATTCTATACTTCTGAGTAGGCTGAGTATGGAATACATGGAGGTCTCCAGGCAAACCATTGCTTCAATCTGCTTTATAAAACATGCAGCGTTGATGGCCCCTAGACAAAGTAAACAATGAGATACAATACCTGGAGGTCATGTAGGTGGTATAATCAATGCATAAATGTACTCCAGGTTAGGTTAATATCATGTGGTTTTATATGTCAATCAAGCAATCATTGTCAGTTGGTAAACAAACAAAAAATACATATTTTTTTATGTTTTTCTTTATGTTTAATAAGCTTTGTCGAAATAACACAAAATCATTCCAGTGATGTCCCTTTAACATATATCTTTCTTTCCCTTACCTAATACTTTCCTTAAAATGGTTATATATTTTTCACAGTGAGTATATTGAGAATGCACAATAAAAATGAATGGTAAAGACCCATGTATATTGGTTGACTACTAGTGTGTATAGTTTATTTTGGCTCACATATGTTCATGTGACACATCACAAATAGAAACATGTCCAGCATCATGATAACTTTGTGACTATTTAGAAATTCTTTATAGTTGCAAATGATTTTCCAATTTGCAACTTCTGAAGACAAGATTGTTTATAATTACTGTAAAATCTAAATTGCTGGTGGATGAATATGAATATTGGGTTATCCTGAGTTCATAATATTGGTTTATATTGGTTCTAGATTTTGGGTAATTAAATTTGATAGATTTGAATCTGTTTCACTATGTCAAAACAGGAACCAATCGTGTCTGGAAGAAAGAATGGGTATAGCCTCCTGCTTTAACTCAGAAAAAGGCAAGAAATCCAGTTCTCGACTTTCTTCACGTGACTAAATAAGTAGCTTTGAGTGACGTGATGCATGCCAGTGTAGTTTGGTTTCTTGACTTATCACATAGCAGTAGACAGTATCACTAACATTTATTATTATGCAGGTATGAATGTCAGTCCATAGAGACAAATGTGCCGTTACATTTTAACAAGTCAGGTAATTTGCCAGTCTTAGATCATTTATTGCTTATGTAATTGGTCAAATTGTGGTCTCTGGTTATTTAGTAATTAATTGAAAACATGCTAAGAGACAATGGAATTGGATTTTCTTACATGGGATAGCTATTATTACTTTTCGTATTTAACTATGTGATAGTAAACTTTATTTCTGAAAGAAATAAAAAAAAAAATATCTGGCCACAAATTCTACATGTACTGCAAATATCCAGTATCAAAAGGTAACTGTCACTATTGTAAATAACAATTGTAATACCCTCAGTATAAATAAGGTGTTTTATTTTGTTTAGTTTCATTTTTCTCAATTGGTAATTGTAGAAAAATTAGAGAGGAATTTCAAAATTTAGGTTAAAATAGGGAGATAAAAAAGAGAGTTATAATAGAGAGATTAATTTTGCATAGTTGAGCAGGGACTCTCTATGCATCATAGCCACTAAACCTCATTAAAGTGGTAATGGCACAGAGTTTAAAGTGTTACTTCAACATTCATAATCACTGCAGCCAACTGTAGTGGTTTTGATGTTAGAAGTATCCTGACTAGTGATGTCCCGAACAGTTCGCCGAACGGTTTGCGAACGGTTTGCGAATGGTTTGCGAACGGTTCGCCACGTTTCGCTGTGAACGGTTCGCCACGGACTCCAGTCAGCAGACACATTCCAGCCAATCAGCAGCAGACCCTCCCTCCCACACCCTCCCACCTCCTGGACAGCATCCAGTTTGAAGCTGCATTCTTAGTGAGCTGTGAGGTGAGGTGGTAGGGTCAGGGAGGGAGGGTCTGCTGCTGATTGGCTGGAATGTGTCTGCTGACTGGAGTCCACAAAGAACCGTTCGTGGCGAACCGCAGCGAACCGTGGCGAACATTCGGGACATCACTAATCCTGACTCCAATGAAGCGCTGCAGAAGGCAGAGGCCGATGATTCCACTTATTCATTGGCTCAGAGAATCAGCTGACTCCTCTTAGCTGATTAATTTGATTCTGTGCAAATTTGAATGCACAGGATCAAATTCATCAGCTAAGAGCGGTCAGCTGATGCTCTGAGCCAATAAATGAGCCAGCCTGGAACTCTAGTTGTAGACTGGTTGATAACACCCCAATGGCACTGCTGTTGGTGGAGTTACACCTCTGGCAGCAGAGGGGTCAAATTCAATATGTGCAGCATTTCAAAATCAAATGCTGTAGATAGAGATTTTTTGTACTATGACCACAGCTTGCAGAAATGTTTTAAAGTATCCTCTTTTATGTGTTTTAATTTTAAAAACAATTGCAGATTCAATAGAAATTGTCACTTTTGAAAATTAACCTTGATTCACCCCTCTTGCTGTCAGTCAGACAACCAGACCGGTTATATCCTTGTTGTTTAGCTCAGTTGAGCTAAATTGAAGAAGAAGGCAATTACTCAGATCACCTGCCTTGCAAAGACTTCTCATGTGTTCACATTATTCATAAATGAGCTGCCTAACATCTGCAAAGTCTCAGCTGTACACATGTACGCAGATGACACAACTGTACACAACTTGTGCCTGTGCTCCAAGACCAGTTCACAGAGGTAGAAAAGTGGATCGTAAAAAGCTAACTTTTCCTAAACATTAACAAAACTGTCATAATGATCTTTGGAACAATACCTAAATTACAAAATTCCCATCTATGCATCAGCACAAACTCAAATAACACACCGTTCAAATACTTAGGTATGTTGCTAGTTCTTAATCTATCTTTTGACCTCCATATTAAAAAAAAAAAAAAAAAAACCTTTAATCAAACTATATCCAAAACAAGGTACTCTGTACAGAAGCAAATCTTGCCTAAACCCCGCAGTAAAGAAACATATTGTACAACAAAGGCTAATGTCAGTCATTTATTATGGGGATGTAATATATGCACTTGCTCCGCAAACCCACCTTCATAAACGTACTACATTGTATAACTCATTCTGACGCTTTGTACTACAATGTAATTACATGACCCACCATTGTGACATGCTAAAAGAACTAATTGGCTATCACTAGAATCCAGATGTACCCTTCATCTTTTGACCCTTGTGTTTAACAGCTTTTCTGGGACGCTCCCACACTACCTGAGCAGAATGCTCTCCCCAGCTGTTCACACCTCCTATAACTTCTGATCCAGTATCAGTACTTTATTAATTCTATCATAATACAAAAAGAAAGTAGCTTGATCATCATTTTCCTACAGAGCACCAAAATTATGCAATAACCTCTTGGACACTTTCAAATCTACTGGCAGCCTAAAGTCCTTTAAGAGGTCCTTCTCTACAAATCTCAAAACAGAATGTACCAGTAATCACGGTTGATTATATTTCTTACCTGTTCTGTGTTAAATTTATACATGTTGTGTAGTAATATTATTTTGTATTTTTAATATTATATTGTACTCTATTGTAATAATGCAGTGTTAGGGGGCCCAGGACATAGTAATCTCAATGTATCCTTCCTGGTAAAATATTTTCTAAATAAATAAATTGAGCTGCATTGGGAAGTCTGTGATTGGACTGCCACAGAAAATCTGGGCTGGGATAGAAAGGTATAGATTGTAAAGGCAGCTGATTAGAGGTATTGTGATGCATAATTAAATATGTGCGTGTTTTCATTTCAATTATATCTACTAAACAGTGAGTTTTATTTTTATGTTTGGACAGTGGATTGTCCATTTAAGGATGCTGTCCAATTTTTTTTTTTTACAAAGCATTTTGGAATGCGTTGAAAAAAATGGAACTCTCCCTTTCACCCATTTCCCACCCCTTCTCCAGGCAACTCCATAATGCAGAATGGAAACTTCGTTAATATCATTTTTAATTCCATCCAACTTTTGCAGTATTAATAATGCCTGGGTGCATGGTTTGAACTGAAAAGATACTCCCTCGCAACAGTATGCTTACTCATATTAACTTGAATTTGCATTGCAAAACAAAATTTATACCAAAAAGAAAACTTTTTTCCTTTGCCTTTTTTTCTATTTGGTCTATCTGCATTTTTTGCAGGAACAATGTAAATATAACCCTCCCTCGCCTATCTCCAATAATCTACAGCATTCTGATAGCCAGAGAAAGAAAATGAAGGAATGAGGGCCCAGTGAATACTAAGCACCCTATATGGTCATCATGTTCTTTAACCCCTTAAGGACCAAACTTCTGGAATAACAGGGAATCATGACATGTCACACATGTCATGTGTCCTTAAGGGGTTAAAGCATAATGCCATCTTGTTTACCATGTAGTTATTCATCTATTTATATCACATCTATTGTAAATGAGAAAAAAAAATCTGCTTCTATGGACATATTTCATATCTAGAGTAATATAAAAATATGAATATTATAAACCTCTTTAAACTTTCCAACCTACAATGTCTCTGTCAATGATTACATAAAAAAACATATTTGTGTAGTAGTTGTATTATTTTAGATATTGCTGAATAATAATCGACACTTCCTTTTTATAGCTATAATGCCATATTTCAAATAAATAACTGTACATTTTTTTTATTAAAACATTAAGTCCATGGCAGTGTGTGGTTAAAGATGCAAAAGATAAAAAAAAAGCTAGTAGCTATTTAAGATGACTTTAGATTTTCTTATCATAAAGTATTATAATGTGTAATAATATAAAACATTTATTTGCAGTCTGTTCACTTTAGATCATTTGAGAGAGAGAAAAAAAAGGAAAAAGAAAATCAACCGTGATTTTTACAGCTTGTTCTATTAAAAATGCCATCCAACATCACACCTATTTTACTCAATGATGTTTCGATTATGTACATGCAAGATTTATGTGTTCTGGGAGTTTACCAAATTACACTTTTATTATAACTCATTTACTATGTGGGTTCCCTTGGTAAAAGACTATAACTAGCTGAATCCATTTTATTTCAAAATTAAACAATTCATTGACTGGCTTGGAAGCAATCCAAATATTCTGTGGGATTTAAATGAGGATTCCCTATAGAGATTGATCACTAAGCTAACTGCTCTATGCATTCACTTTTTTTGTATTTTAGTTATCATTTTATTCTGTATTAAACATACTGGTCTCGGACGCCTGCTAACAATTGCTCATTAGAGAAGTGCTAATGAAATAAAAACAATAAACAAAATCATTAAGACTCTATCATGACCTGCAATGATACTGAGCAAGATCGGTGACACTGAATTAATCTTTAATCATCCCTAATGTGTTCTTACATATTTAATGCATGATCTAGTTACTGTTCTTCCCAAAGGGAGTCCTCAATTCCTTCCACTTTTATCGTTGCTCTTTTAGGCATGGATATAAACTGTGCTTATAATGATACCAAATGACTTGGTCCTTTTCATTTTTTTTTTACAATCTAATTAATAAACATATATAGCTTTTGACTGTGCCCTTGCACCACATACCATAAAACAAAAATTAGACATTTTATAAGTGTATAACTTTGATTAAGGTGCAGAATGTTCCGGTGGTTTTTATTTTTAAGTGAAAGAGGCTGGCAGTATTTAATACTCAAATCTTCTTTTTAGAATGTTTCTGATTTTATCTTTTTTTTTATTCAAATGTGTTTTTAAAAAAGCATGAAAGGTCATTCCAGCCACCAACACAAATGTAATGTGTCTGATAGGCTTTGGCCTCATAGGCTATACACTAAACCCTAAGGAAGGTTAATAGTTTAGAACTATTTATTTAGAATAGTTTAGAGTGGAAGGGAATCACATTGTGCATTAAGAAAACTTTGTATACCAAAGTTCCAAAATATATTTTTATATGTATTTTCCTTCATAGCTGCATTTATGAAGTCAGTACAGACAATGCCAAAATTAGCTATACTCCAACATTCCCACAATGAGAGGGGGACACAGCATTAACCCCAGAATTCCCTCCAACCCTGTGTTACATTCATTTAAAGGACCACTATAGTGCCAGGAAAACAAACTTGTTTTCCTGGCACTATAGGGTCATTAGGTGCCCCCCTCCCTCAGGGCCCCCCTCGAGCTGGGCTGAAGGGGATAAAACCCCTTCAGCCACTTAACATTATCCAGTGCAGGGCTCCCTCTGTGCTTGGGAACTCTCCACCCCAGCCGACGTCAGATCCGAATGCGCATGCGCGTCAAGAGTCATGTGCGCATTCAAGCTGCCCACAGGAAACCATTACTCAATGCTTTCCTTTGGACGTCAAGCGTCTTCTCACTGTGATTTTCACAGTGAGAAGCGCGGAAGCACCTCTAGCGGCTGTCAGTGAGACAGCCACTAGAGGTTGGATTAACCCTCAGTGAAACATAGCAGTTTCTCTGAAACTGCTATGTTTTCAGCTGCAGGGTTAAAACTAGAGGGACCTGGCACCCATACCACTTCATTGAGCTGAAGCGGTCTGGATGTCTATAGTGGTCCTTCAACTATTAGTGAATTGTAATGTTTGGCTAATATGACTGCTTACTGGATGCACGGCTAATCTTTAGGCAGTCAGAGGAATACTAAGTATATGTTTATGAATACTGTGCGTCTATCTAGGTGTCTTCTACTAATGCAAGCTGCTTTGCTTATATTATCCTTGTAATACACAATGAAAATCCTGCATTCAATTCTAAACCAACATTACCTGTAAACAAGGAGAAACAGCAAGTATAGCACTGTGTCTAGCTTTTGTGTGTTCGGGTATTGTCTTCGAATACAATCTGCTTTGCTTATATTATACTTATAACATAGAAACACTCTCCTTCATTCATTATACACCAAGCTGCAAACAGTCAGAGAAACAGGCAGGCATTATATTTTATCTTTACAATGTCTCTGTTTGGGTTCTCTCTCTGTCT